TGAAACATGTGTATTTATATAATTTTCAGAAAATTCAATTATTTAAAGGCATGTGTTAAAAAGTTTTTTATGATCTGTATTTCTTATCAAGCAAAGGAATTGAAATATAATTCTCTAAATTGGGTGAAAAGATTGGTAGATAAAATAAAAATGAAATAGAGGAAGACGTATATAAATTATTTACTTTCAATTTCTTCAGACATCATTTTTCCTTTTACAATTAAAAATGTTTATATCAAATGTTCATTTGAAAGAAATAATCATTTTTAAAAGGAGAAATTTAAGTAGTGGTAATAATTTTTTAGGATACAAATCATTTTACCATAATGGTATTAATGGACATTAATAGAGAATAGACAAGTGTTCAATAGTCAATATTATAAAACGAAAAACAAGGTCGGCAAAACCTAGCAATGACCACCCTAGTTCCTATATAATAAAGAACCAACATCGCCAAGAACAAATCGAAAAAGTTTCAAGAGGGAGAGATAAATATTTGTATCATAAAAGGTGTACAGGTACGGAGGTTCGGGCACCACCCCATCGGCCGCCGAATGGCAAAACCAGGAAGCCGAATGCCAGGCCACCAGGATTGGCCTACCATCATTTGGTACTCTTAATCAAAGATTAGAGGTTAATTAGTCTATTAAGGTGCATTACCTAATATACGGTAAATATGTCGCAGGGCCCATGGGGTCCAGAACCAATAAATGTCCGTATAAATAGCTCAGGACAAAAGATAACGTCACTGTTCATTAATTATCCTAGATATTCATGTTTGTCCTGACTTGAGCGTTGGAGTGCCTTTTGTAGGTACCAACTCCTTCACCAGCGTATTGGATCGGAACTCCCGTTCGGTCTTCAGAATACTAGAAGACTTAGTGTGCCTATCAGACAGGTACATAAGGTAATAATTATTTTATAATATAAATAGTATATAAAATATATTAAATAAGAAAGAAATTATAAATATAAAATTTAATAATTAAATTACATTTATATATATATATATTATGTATTTTGCTCCCAAAAAAAAAATGTAGCAAGATGGGTATGGAAGCATAGAGTTATTACATAATCAAACCTACACTTGAATCCAATTTTTCAAGATAGGAGAAAATCTATATGCAATTAAAACAAAATTTTTTCATGAAAAATGGATTAAGGTTAAAAAGGTATCACGAATTTAATTATCATACCAATTTATTATGAAATAAATTATATTAATTAAAAGAGAAATATTCATCTTATTTATATTCATAATCTTTGACAAAAGAATTAATCACTATTTCAAACATATTTCAACCTATATCATGATCATAAACAAAATAAAATTAAAAGTATACATATATATTAAAAAGAAAAAATGTTGTGATCTATAATAATACAATATTCTTGGTAGCAAGAACAAGATTATTGGATCTAAAACCATATCTGGCATGTCGTACCAAAGGGCAAACAGTTGCAGAGACAATTAAAAAATCGAGAATTGATGTAATGAAAAATGAAATGCATATCTACTAGGTTGAAGCTACATAGTGATACCATAAGTGTGGTACACAATTGACCACTGACCAAGCACCTACAAACATTAAACAGAAATAATTATGTGTGTATCACATAAGAAAGAAAAATTAAAGGTAGAAGAGATTTGAAAGGGAATGTGTGTTGAGAAGGTTGTGACCAGACGTACCAAAATTTTCGGAGATGAAGAGAGAGAAGTTGGCGTGTAAGACACATAGCCTTCTAATATTTAATGTTCATACTGCGCCGACAGACAAGATATACACTATATAGTATGCACTTCACCTAAACAAAATACTATATTGTATGCATGTCAAAATCTCATTAACCCTCAAATCTCATCGTGTTAGGTTAAAGAGTTAAAGAGTTAAATAGTAAGAAGTACTTAAATGGGTAATGATGAGTAATATGTGAGTCAGATATTACATTATATTTTAAAACATTAATTATTAGATAAATATCTTTTTCCACTTATATCTCTAATTTTAATTTATGTGAGACTCTTTTTATACTTAAACTTCAAAACACATAAAAATCTCTCATTTTTTTAGAGGTTATGTGAATTATTTTTATAAAAGACAATTTTATTTAAATCAGATAAAATTATTATAAATGAGAAATCAGTTTTCTAAAAAATATAATTTTATTCTTTTCCTAAAAATTATCTTAATTAAAATTAGAGAACGAAGTAACTAGAAAAAAACATAAATTGTTATAAAACTGCTCTTCTAATACATTTTTATACAAATTAGAATAACTATGTGTTACGATCTTAAATTAGTGCGTGAAAATATTTCGGCTATTTATTTTCTTTGTTAATGAACTCTTAAAATAATTAAAAAGTCAATACATGTTTAATAAATATTATTTCTAAAACAACAATTATTTAATTATTTTGTTTAAAATAATTGAACCTAACACATGTAATAATATCTCTATATATATATATATATAATGTTTAATAAGTAAATTAAACTTGACTTAAATATATTTTAATTTCTATAAAATAAATCATTTTTTATTTTGATTTTTTATAAAAAAATATTTTTTATTTATCATCTTTCTAAAATTTATAAATATTCTTTTTTATTATAAAATTAGTGAATTTTTATTTTAATTCTTATAAAATATTTTTCTTTAATTTTTATCTTATTAAAATTTTAAAATCATTTTTAGTCTCTAATAATTATTTTAAGGTAGATAAATAAAATATATTTTAAGAATTTATAATTTTTTTGAAAGTATCAAATAACGATATAATATCACTAATAATTATAATAGTCACTTAATAAGTTAATATTTTGATAAATAAAAGTAACTAAAATTAAAAATTAAAAACAATAATTTCAATTTTAAGGAATTAAAAATAAATAATTTTTTTTACAAAAATAAAAATAAAAAATTATTAATTTTTAAAAAACTAAAAATATATTTAAACCTATAATTTTTTAATAACTTTACTTTAATGAAAACTCACAATGATCAGGAAAACATGTCTTTTGCTACAAATTGTTGTTTAATTAGTACGATTTACCTATATTACACGATGTTTTCTTTTTTACATATACTATCTACTGATCATTTAGTTAAACACTTTACTTTATTTATATTAAAATATAAAATAACATAATTAGACACAATAAATTACTAAATTTATCGATTGTTTCACTCATTTTCGACTAAATATTGAATGACAAAATCAACAAGTTTCAGCACAACTGATCCTAAATTATCAATTGTTTACTGCTAATTTCTGCTTATCATTGAATGATAATTAACAAAGTCTACAGCTCACAACAAAATTTGTACAACATAAAAGTGAACTTGTTTAAATTATTGTACGACTTTTAATATACATATAACGTTATTCTGATGAAAAGAATGAATCATGATTCATTTCATTTCATTACTTAACACAGAAATAAATTTTAAAAAAACTATTTTATCATTATAAATTTTATCATCATTCTCTATATATATGGACAATATATTTAAAGTATAGGTAATATGATAACTAAAAGGTTATAACTCGTTCAATTATGTCCTCTTTTCAAATAATGCAGTGAAATTAGTGTTTTATTTCATTATAAAATATTCAAATAATGAAGTAACATTTTTATTTCATTTCATTCCATCTCATCTCATTCCATTATATTAATTTCAATATATATATTTCTTTTCATTATCTATCCTCCATCCAAATATAGCCTTAAATAAAAGTTAGTTTTCGACTATCAATTGAAAATTAATATCCTTATCGTGCACAAATAAATAAATAAATGAATAACAACTTATTTTTTAAAATTAAGTAGCTAATAATACATAATTAACTAAAAAAATTGCCTTGTAGTGATGGATATAAACTATCATTACAAATTGAAATTTTTGTAAATAAATGCATATTTTACATTTACCTATATGTGATCTATATATGTACATTATATGAGTTATATTGCAACAATTTTATAAATTTTATCTATAATAAATAGTTATAAATACAAGTATTTGAGTTTTATTTATACTTAATATTTATAGATAAAAATAAATTTTAATTTTACTTACGGTTATCATGTCGGTAAAAATAAAATATTTGCAAGCATTGGTCTCTATCATTATACTTTATATAATCATTGTCACAATATTAAGAAAAACATAATAATGTATTCGAATTTAAGAATATAAATAATGTTAACCGGGGCTCTAATAATATTGATTAAAGAATAAGAAATATAAAATTTTATTATAAAGTATAACAGCACATTCTCTCGGATTGCTTTCATATAGTTTTTAATAACTTTTTTATGTATTAATTCCTTAATTAGTATAGGATCACTAGTCAACGAGACCCATTAAGAATAAATACAATTAATACTTATAATTTTATAATTATATTTCTTGTGTTTTAATTACATTAAAAAAAAATACATATATATATATATATATATGTTTTGTCTGTTTTCTTTTTTACTTCTGATACATGCAATACAACTACTTTCTGCTCCTCCCTTGTAATTTCCTCACTGACAGAGGAGAATACCTGCACACTTTCTCACACACGCACGCATACTCAATGCAGAGCCTCAGAAAGAAAACCACTCCTCCCTACGCATCACACTCTCTCTCTCTAGCTAGCTATATAGAATTGTGGGATATGATAAGGACCCTAGCAGAGTGTAAAGATAACTCAGAACAAAAGGACACTGCTTGCAAAATATTTTTAATTAATCTTTCTAACACTTGATCAAAAATAAAGGAAAATGTTAAATAAATAAAAAACACGTTTTCAGCCACATCAGACATTGTTATTATTGTTTCACCAATTTCCTCTGTCAATGGATTCATTAAATCCCCATTAAATAAATAAAAAAAAAGAAAAGAAAAAAACAAAACCACACACACCACAAACACACTCTCATTCTCTCTCTCTTGTTGCTAAGCATTTCTTATATAATGAAGAGCCATGATGTGTTTGAACCCAACATTCCCATTCTAATCAATACCCTTCTGTGAAAAACATTGCACAACTTTTACCTTCTTCTCTCCTTGTGTCTTTGCTCTTCTTAATCAACTTCCTTGTGCTAGCTCTTGTTTTGCATGCTCCTATGGATAGCTTCTACCACCACCATCATCATCATCACCATCATCAACCTCACTTTGACAACAACAACAACAACAACAACCACAACGAGCCACACTTACCTCCTGGCTTTCGGTTCCACCCCACAGATGAGGAACTCATCACATACTACCTCCTCAAGAAGGTTCTAGACAGCTCCTTCACTGGCCGAGCCATAGTCGAAGTCGACCTCAACAAGTGCGAGCCATGGGAACTTCCTGGTAATTAACTAACTAATCACAACAACAAAAACCAAACCCTTCTTTCTCATGTTTTCAGGATAGATCCCACTTCGACGAGTGAGATGATCATGATAGTGTGTGTATAAGCTTTGAGTTAGGTCTAAAGCTGTGTCGTAAGACATATATAAGATAACAAAAAGTGCATGATCCTTCTAACTTTGTTGTTTATTGTTTCGTGGCACAGAGAAAGCAAAGATGGGTGAGAAGGAATGGTACTTCTTTAGCCTTCGTGATCGAAAGTACCCAACTGGGTTACGCACCAATAGGGCCACTGAAGCTGGTTACTGGAAAGCCACAGGGAAAGACAGAGAGATCTATAGCTCAAAAACTTGTTCCCTCGTTGGCATGAAGAAAACCTTGGTTTTCTATCGTGGAAGGGCTCCAAAGGGTGAAAAAAGTAACTGGGTCATGCATGAGTATCGCTTAGAAGGCAAATTCGCTTACCACTACCTCTCTAGAAGCTCCAAGGTAATCATCATCGTTTATTAAATCATTCCATGATCCATGATTTTTCTCTTCATGTGTTTTGGAATTAATTTCGGTTCACGATCACGAGTTTCACATATTCTCGTTATTAATTATTACTAGTTTCTGAGTTTCTCATTAATTCAAAAGCTTTATCAATTTCTACCACTTAGCCAACGGGTATTACCCTCCAGTGCAAAGGCACGTTCCCTTATCATGTACAAGCTGCATGGGGAATATAAATTATTATCAAAGTGATGACAACAAGGTATAATCATCAAAAGGGCACAGCAACTTAGCCACTGTATCGTTCATCATTTGTGAACTTTTTCCCTCAGTGCTGCTTCCAAGCATAAGATCCTGAATCCTGCTTCTTGATCTCCTTTCTATAACATTCTGCCACACTCCAAACAGTTTCTCATTTATTACCATCAGAGAAACGTTAGATTCACACTTTTTCACATACTAAAATTTACTAGCAATGGTGATTAATTATTAAATTTCCCAATTACTGAAATTTTGTGGTTATATATTATCCTAAGAAATTAATTACATCATGGGCATCTCCAACATGTTATTTTTTTTCTTTGTAGACACGTCCTTCATCATTTTTTGATTATTACTATAGAGTAGTGCATTTTCATTGACTAATTTAATTAAAATGGCTAAAGTTTTTTTTTTTTTTTTTGGATTGATGAAGGACGAGTGGGTGATATCACGTGTGTTTCAAAAGAACACCACGGGCGGTGGCTCCACCGTGTCGGCCACCGCCACCGGCGGTTCGAAGAAAACGAGAATGAGTGCATCAAACGTTAGTAGCAACATTGAACCGGGTTCACCCTCTTCCATTTACCTTCCGCCGCTTCTAGAATCTTCTCCATACACCGCCGCCAGCAGCACCACCGCCGCCGCCACATTCAACGACCGAGAAAGCTGCTCCTTCGACAGCGCCGCCACCAACCAAAGGGAGCACGTGTCCTGTTTCTCCACCACCAACCCCTCCGCCTTCGACCACCTCGCTCCCCCGCCGGAGCCGCCCCTCGACCCGTTCTCCCGCTTCCACCGCAACGCCGTCGCCGTCTCCGCCGTCCCGAGCCTCAGGTCGCTGCACGACAATCTCCAGCTCCCCTTCTTTTTCCCTCCGGTGGGCCACGGCGGCTCCGCCGACGTGGCCCCCTTCGCCGCCCCGGGGAGCTGGACGGCGCCGGAGGATCAAAGGGTGGCCGAAGGTGGCGGCTCCGGCATGCCGATTGTGGCCTCGGAGCTTGATTGCATGTGGGGGTATTAAATTTTTTTGGGTTGACCAATGCTGGGTCCTGTGTTGACCACTATTATTCTTAGGGTTTTATTAGGGTTTGAATATGGGATTAGCTAGTTGTCATGTACTTTTCAATTATTGGGCTTGTTAGGGTTGTTGATTGTGATTGTTAGGGTAGCTTGGTATTGTGGTTGGTTATATTTAACCTAAGTTCAGATTTTACTAGGATGCATTATTTAATGTTACTGACTGACATGGCATGGGTTAGTTAGTTAAATTGTGTGTTCTACTTTCTGAATTTTAATGCGTCACTTTTTCTTTCATACAAAAATTTAATTCGTAACTTGTGACTACATACTATAGTACTACCATCATTCCGTAAAATAATTCCAAAATTTCCAACATCTTTTATGGGACAGGGTGAGTTCTATTGAAGTTTTCATCTGAAATCCTTGAAACGGGACCTATTTCTCTCTCTTTATTATAGTTTTGAGATACATGGACTCGCTTTCATTCTCTTATCTTATGTGGATCTAAGGATCTTGCATGAGTGAGTTATTGATCTATGTACGAAACTCGCATCAAATTCTATTAAATGGCTCACATGGATATTTTGTTAGCATTCTGCGCTTGTTTAAAAAGAATTCACATGTGGTCATCATCTGTGACCAAAACAATTAATTTGAAAATAAAAATGTGAGAAACTTGTTTTGACTTCTAACTATGGTGAATTGTAAGATAAGGGATGAAAGACCTTGTTCATGGGTTGTTTTTTATTATTAGATATATAATTAAAATGAATGAATGATGATCGTGTATAAAATCTCAACTATTTATTTATTTTAATAATGTACTTAACGTTTAAAAATAATCCTATATGGATGAGGGATTTTTTCACTACTCATCTTAAAATTCTTCTCTAAATCCATGTTTCATTTAACCAATGATAATGATTTTCTTGCCTAGCTTTTTTACTGATTACATATTCTTTTGAGATATACAAGTTTATAAATGTTAACCTAGGAATCAATTCCCCAAAAGTCAAAATAATTACACAAAATAATACGATATATATACTCTTATGACTCATTTTAGCAAAAACTAAAAGTATTTTATACATGAACTATTGAGCTAAACACATAAATTACTAGGCTGTATGCGTTTAAGCAGAGACACTCCTACTCTCCTAGGAGTATATGACTTTGGTCATATTGCTTTTCCATGTATGCTAACAGCTCCATAGTGAGTGATGAAGAACGGACATTGGTGTTTTTTTCCTTTTCTTTCATGAACAGTACTATCACATTCCCACGATAATAAAAGTTGAAAGCATAGGATTGAGGTGTTAACTTTTGAATACCATGATAGGTTGTTCATGAGTTAATGTAATAGTTAAATACATTATTGTCAAGATAGTTTATTTAATGTAAAATTTTGTGTTCAATCTTTATAATATATGAAAACTCTTTCGACTATAATAATCAAAGTATTATAATTGAGATTAGTTTTTGATTTAATAGACTTCAAATAAAAAAGTGAGGTGTAATATTAATTATCATGTTGGAGAAATTTTTCTTTGATCGATCAACTCTCCTTATTTAGTGAAAAATTCTATGTTCTATCTCACTCATGTGTGAAAATTCTCTCAGTCAATGATCATCAGAAGAATACTGTAAGTAAAATTAGTCTTTGATCTAGTTTTAAATTCTCAGTCCATAATAATGAGAATATTTTAAGTGAGATTAGTCTTTGATTTAACATAAAAATAATGTAATACGGGTAATTAAGAAAGTATGAGGTGAGATATTAATTATGGTGATAGAGAAATTTCAGTATGATGAATTGTAGCAAGGAGAGATTGCAGTTTTGTTTTGTTGTTTGTTATTATTTGTGACATTTAATAGGCAGTTGAAGAAGGTATATGGTACAGTGGGGATGGTCAGAGGAAGACCCTGAATTTGGCTCAATTTCACGTGGGGTCTGTGTCTAAGTTTAGGGTTGGAGAGTGAGTGAGTGAGTGAGTACCATTGCCAAGCTAGCTACACCCGTCCTACTTTTGGAAGGGACAAATTTAATGCTCTTGCTGTTACCATTGTCAACTTTTTCTTCCTCTCGTTGGACTTAATTTGCTGCTACAGCCTCTTCTGGGACCCATAAAAAGCCACCCCAACGATATTTGCACCCTTTATTTGAAGCCATTCAAACTTCAAACTTCAAACTTTCAAACTTTACCACCCCCGTCCCCCCGGGGCCAATTGTCCTCTTGTGAAGATTGCAGCAGAAAAATTATTGCAGTGGTAGTAGTGATGCATATGATGATGCCACACCACGGCACAAAAGTACAATGTTTCAGAAAATCTCACCTTAGGAAATTTGGTGTTCGCCATTGGCATGCCAATCAAATCAATGCCCAATGTTTGGAACAAGGGATGCATGCCATAAGTTCCCATGTGATCGTGAATGTTGGTTACTAGAAAAATGCATCACTAAGCCTATATAAAGAAAGGTTTACATTATCATGTTATTAATAATAGTTATATATATGTATATATATTGAACAAAATCAAAAATAATTAACATAAGTAATTTGGTACTTTATGATCTTTAATTAAGGGTCAAGATTTGATTATTAATTTAAGAATAAATTCGAGATTGAAAATATCACTTTATTTTTATATGAAAAACTTTATATTAAACAAGAAAAATTAAGTAAAAATGACATGTTTTGGTGATGAAAAGAGAAAAATAATGTGTATAACAAATTATATAATAATTTATACATCTAATAGAGAAAAAATTGAAATATAATAAATGATATGATGAAAAATAGACAAGAAAAAAATGTTCTATGAACAAATTATTAGATAAATTGTTCATGTATCACATTTTAAAAAAAAAATGAAATAATTTTATGTGAACTCAATATTTTCGAACATATAACAAAAAATATATATATTTTTAACTAAAAGTCGAAAACTAATATTTTAAAATTCTGAAATGTATTTTAGAAGTGTATATATATCTCTTAACAAATGTTTTACATATGTACAAATCTACAGAAAAAAAAAAAAAGTATATGGTAAATACTTAATAATGGAGAAGGTGTAAGCTACGACCCATAAAAGGGTCATTCTTGTGTTGAAATGGGTCATATAGTTGGTTTCCCCACTGATCAACCCCTCACTATATACCTAAAGCAGAAGGTGGAAGCCAAAGTGAGCCAGAAAATGGTAAATTTTTGGGCTGAAATGGTTCATAGATGTATTCCACACTGATGCACTGTCTTCTCATATACCAACAAAAAAAAACACATCCTTCTGATCAGCTCTCACAATTCAGCAGACTGAGGCACTCATGATGATTCCTATGTACGTACTTTGGGTTATATATGCAGCAAAGTGAAGGGCTCCAATTGGGTGAGAGGGTCACAATGATGGTGGTGATGAAATTGGAAAGGTACAACTGAGTTTGAAATGGGGTGTGTGATCTGTGCATGGTTGGTGAGGCAATGAGTATAGTGCTGGTTTTGTGAGCGTCCGTTAGGGGCAGAGAGAGCAGAGTTTTTGTGCATCAAAATGGCATGGCACGCGGTGTACCACACTCAGGCCAAGGTTTTGGACTTTCTCACAATTATTTGGGTCTTATATTGCTGAGTTCTAACGATCTTGCTTGTGCCTCCAAATGGTTGGGGAATGAAAGTAAAGGGTATCAAGCAAGTGCTATAGTCCAAGGGCAAAAAGCTCGGGTTTGGAACCTATGGTAACGGAAACAATCATGGATTTGTTTTGGGGGGTCAAAGGGAATCATGGGGGTTGAAATTTAAAACATATCATGGACTGTTTTTCTTTCTTCTGGTTTTTGCCCCACTAATTCTCCACTTGCTTTCTTTTTGTAAAAATGTAGGTTGAGTTTATTCTTTGAGGTGATGGGATGAATTAATAACCTTGGATCACATGAAAATGATGGAATACTATCTTAGGATTGATAAATGAATTTATTTATTTATTATTTATATAATTCATTTATAAATAAATCTATCAAATTTATTTATTATAATAAAAATAAATAATGAATTAAATATAATTTATTTATTTAGTTTTATATATGAATAATTAGTTATTCATCTATCATTTTTTTAAATTTCATTGGATTACAATATGAGATGTTTATTGAATTGAAATTTTAATAAATTATTTTAATATAATTTTTTTGTGAATTTTAAAGGACTATATAAAAATATAATGATTTATAAAGAAAAGAGAGAAATAAAATATTTTAAAAATAAAATATTTTATTTTTAAAACATTACTTTTATTGATGGATTGAATATTCATCCATGAAAAATTGTTAATGGATGGATTTGATGAATTTTTTGCTTTAAATGGATTAGATGAATCACATTTTTATATGAAATTTTAATTGATTTAAATGAATGAATGAATTATTTTCATCCAATCAATTATGATCCATCTAAAACATCATCTGATCCATCCATTTGTCACTCTTAGTCATAACTCATCACAGGTAATGGTTTATATAGGTTGTTTGGAGTTTGGACAATCTTAAAAGGTCTTTTAACAATTTCTTAATTAAAAAAATTAATAGAAAAATTCTAAAAAATACTTATAAATTATAGGCTTTTGATCAATTATGGCTACATTTTGCTAAATATGGACTAGTGTATGACTAATGTTTGACTTATTATATAGAAAGTGATCAAATTACACTGCCGTGACTTTTATAACTATTATACAGTTAAATAATTTTATAAATTTTTTTTATCTAACCATTGAATTGAAAGTTTTTTTTTATTTAAATTATATATATAAAATTTTATATTAATTCAAAATTACTTGATACTACGTTTATATCGATCAAAATTAATATAATATATACGCTTCAAAATATATTAATATATGAATAACTTGATCACGTTATATATATATGAGAAGAGTAAATTATAATTTTTAGATTAAAAATAATTAATAGTTATGATTAAAATTCAATTATAAACACCTCTTTACAAGTTGATGATTATTATTTATTTTACAACTAGCAATATTACTATCACCTACCTACCATATTGCAACCATTGTAACTACCATTGTTATTGTTGTCACCACAACTATCATAATTGACATCATAATCACTACCATTATCACTACTACATGTTAGCGATACAACGATGGCGACGATGATAATGATAGTAACGACATTTACTGCCACCATCACCTCCAACATCATTACTAATGGTAACAATAACAACAACAATAACAATGACAATGGTGGTCTTGATGGTTGTGAAGGTCAATGATGGTAATGACATTGGTTGACAGTTGTGATAGAGGTAATACTAATAACCTTGTGTAGGAATCCCTATGATTAAGTTTTAATTTC